CTCTAGAGCTCGAATCGTTCGTGGTCTACAAATTCGTATGCGCAGGATGTAACTCCTGTTATATAGACGAAACTACTCGCCATCTCAAGACACGAATAACTGAGCATTATAAGAGAGATAAAAAATCACATATCTATAAACATCTCCATGGTAATGAAAATTGTTTTATGCAATTAAATGAAAAGTGTTTTTCCGTTATAGATTCAGCATCTAATAAGTTCGAATTAAAACTTAAAGAAAGCATGTTCATAGAATGGTTAAAACCTGGTTTGAACAAACAAGTCAACCATGTCCAAATGACACTTTCTGTTTAGTTATTACTTTCTATGTAAATTTTTATTAACCTATTCTTTCGTCACTTCCTATTCGTTCTTTTAGTATGACTTGTTATTCTTATAGATTTTGTCGTATTTTTGTAATTAAATTAATAGATTGTACACAGATAATTACATTTTGTATTGTTATTGTAAAAACCACCTATATAGGTATTTAAACAAAATTTAAAAATTTAAATTCAACTGAAGATGACTAGTGATAGTAGAAACATGTACTGTTTAAAATTAATAAAAAGGTTTTATCAATTAAAAAGTTTGTCTTGTTTATTAAAATATTTACATTTTTTGTGCTTAAAAGAAATTTTGTATATATATATATATATATATATATATATATATATATATATATATATATATATATATATATATATATATATATAATATATTTGTTTTTATTTATGTTTACATTTAGTTTTAAAAATTCACAAATATTTGTTTGTGTTCCATAAGATGTTCACACTGTGTAAAGTATAGTATTTGCTAATAGCGTGTTGACTATTTGAATGTCTACTTCAGTATTCCATTATTTTGTAATGAACTGAACCCAATAATCAGTTGGCAAACAATTCTTTGTAGTATTATATAACCTTGGAAACATTACTGGCAAATTATTTAATCCGTATTTCAGCAAAGTTTTCTACTAAAAATACAAAGTTCCGCACAAAACATTATATTTAGGCTTAACCATGGAAGTATAAAACAGATTATTATATTTTCAAGGGTTAACCAAGATGGCAACTGACTTTTAAAACTGGCTTCAGCGTGTTATAAAAAGTATATACTTATTACACTAGAAGTTTTTATTTTAATCAATGACTGGTATATTTTTTATAATTTTCAAGGCCTGTCTATACTGCTTTTTTTTTAGTTAATTTTTTTGTTGACTCAACGTAGTTAGAGGAATCAGTAAAATCTCATTTTTGTCAATCTATAACTTAGGTTTTAAATTAAATAAAATAAATGTAAATTTATTTTTGTTAAATACAACTTTTTTTGCTTGTACTTTATAAAAATTTCTATGAGTTTTTTTTTTTTTGTGTTTAAACAGAATTTAAGACTTTTGTAAAGTCTCTTTTTTTTTTTAAGTTTTTTTTCGTTAAGTCTTTAGCGTTTTGCTCAGACGGTTTTCCTCATATTTTTTAAATAAACGTCTTTAATTCTGATATAATTGTAAATCAAAATAGCTAGAACTTTTACAAAGTGTTTAACTCAATAAAGTTTCTAAAAAAACATGTATTTTCAACTCAAAGTTTAAGGTCTTCCACTTCATAAACAAAAAAATATATGCTGGTAGTATTAGCTCTCATTTTTTTTATTATTTTTTTTTTATTTCCTTAAGAAATATTCTAATGTCTAAATGTTTGAGCAAAGTCTTCACTTAAAAATACCGTTCAAAAACTTGAGATTTCATCGGTCTGGAAATTAAAGCTAAAGTTAGGGTTTCCTGAACACCGCATAGTAAACCGCAATTATATTGTATTAAGTTATATAACATAAAATCTTAATAGACATATGACATTTTAAATAAATTTTAAAAAATTGTTTGCTTTCCACAGTAAGATTTTTGATGTGTTCTCGTTAAAACAATCTAATTGTTTTTTTGCAGACCAGTTATTTTGCGGAAATATCTAGATTGTTTTATCTAATAACCGACTAACGGTAATTTTATGAAAACACCTAACTACTATGAGAATAAAAAGCAAAAAATAAACGGGGGAGTAGTGGTCTTAACAAATATATTTAATTGGAACTGAAAAATCCAAACCAATAGTTGCCGTGGCACAGCGGCTAGACTTCTGGCTCAAAACCCAGAGGTCCAAAGTTCGACATCGGCTCTAGCCCAATTCATGACATCGGTAAGAAAAGAAGGGTAAAATTTCTAGTTAAATGCTCTTCCTTGGTACTCTGTAATAAGACCCTAAGGATTTCTGGTAGCACCTTAAGAACTACAAAAAAAAAAGATCTAAAAAGGGTATTAACCTTAAGTTCAATACTTTTGCAAATCAGTTGTTATTGAAGCTAGCAGTAGTTTGCATCTGAACTTTTTACACCAATTGCAGTTGCATTTTAATGTTTTGACTTATCTACGTAAGGTATCTATTCAACAATACTCACAAAACTTTAAGATAGTATGGCCAACCATTTTATAGTGTTTTTGTGTATGTGGTCTGCGAATTATTATGTTTGCAAGGGTGTGTTTGCAAAACAATAATGGGTGTTCGCCTTGTAAACAGAACCTATAAAATTTAATAAACTAAGTTTAAACTATTCTTCTGAAATCTTAACCTTTTTGGAAAATTCCATTTTTTCAAATTCTTATTAAACTATTTTGATTAGCTGATGCGTGACATTCATTTAATGACAGCATACCACAACTTTTCTTTTACTTCTGATTTTGTTAATTATCCTTAAGACCCCTGTTATTTTTATTCGGGTTAACTTATTTTATTACTTCTTCCAGTTTTATTACCAGTTGTTCACGGACTCTCTTGGGCGGCAACTCATTCTTTTTTTCAAGCCATGTTGGACCGTGGAATCCATTTTTTGGTAGTTTTCCATTTTTAACTCGTTCAAATATCTGTTTGGTTAGGCAGTGACGCCATTTAATATACCTTTTTTATTGATCTCTTTAACCCGGTTTGATACAAACTGTTTTCATTTACGATTGTTGTAATGAATCCAATGTAGTGCTACTGAACTATCAACCCAGTCCTATACTTTAACAACTGGGTATCTTTAAAGTGCCAATTTAAAATTTGGTTAGTTTGTTTATTATATTTATTTATTAGTTGCTGTGTGTTAGAACACAATTCAAGCCTGGAAAAATACAAATCTTGCTTGGAAAAGCGTGATTTAGCAGTTAGGAGTTCTTGAGTGGCTTATTACACTTGACTTGTGAAAATGATATTGATAACTTGGTGTCCACCAAGGTGAAAGATTCTGCAAAAAGAAACCATATTCTCACCTCACAAGCTTTTAGACACCAAGTGTTCAGCGTGGATTGCCGTTATTAAACTAAAAAAACTACGGTAAACCATTGCTGCGTTCACTCGTAATATACGAGATCTCAAACTTAATGTTGACATGCAAACAATCAAATCAAGCCAAATTCTTGATGAAGTTGTGCTCTTGATCTTTTGATACAAAAAATTCTAAGTTATTGACGTTGTCCGTTGCGTCAAATTTAATAACAACCGATGACAAATTTATTCTCACCAAGGCTGCTAAGTTTATAATGAGTTGATATTTTAGTTAAAGGAGTAAGGTAGAAGCAATACAGCTGCATTTCAAGTGCAATACAGCTGCAATACAGCTGCATTTCAAGTGCAATACAGCTGCATTTCAACTGCAATACAGCTGCATTACAGCTGCATTTCAACTGCAATACAGCTGCATTTTTAAGTTCATCTTTATATAGTTTTGATCTTTTTTTTTGTTATGCTAATAAAAATTTAAGCCAATACAAAGCCAAGAGTAACTTAAACAGCTTTTGAATCAACCAAAATAAGTTTTTATCACTCGAGAATCTGGTTCTTGATCTTTCAATCAAATATATGAGAATCTTAAAGAAAAAGTTTTCACAATGTCAAACCTCTATTGAATTTTTTGAAAGGACTAATCAATTGTAGCATTGAAGGTATTTATCAAAAAATGATTTTTAAAGCACTCACAGAGGAAAGCTTTCTTTTTTGAGTGTTAAGCTTCTATGTAAAGATTATTTCTTCAAAATTCTCATACAATTAGTTGAAAGATCAAGAACTCCATTCTCGAGAGATAAAAACTTGTAAACTGATGCAGCTCAACGCTAGTCATGTTAATGAAGTTTTATGAAAGCAAGTTTGCGTTTTTTTATCGTATGAAAAAAACTTCGCTTTTTACTCCAGGAAACTCTTTAAGTCTTCTAAACCAACCAATAATCAAAAAACCTACAGCCTATTTTCTTATCTAAATGCATCATAATTTGAACTTTTAACACAATCCCATATCGGTTGCAAAGAATGAATGCTCAATCTAAAAACTATTGTAAGACCACAAAAAATGGACAAAAATGCACTTGGTTGTTTGTGTTGTGTTTGTGTTGTAAAGTTGCTTTTTCAAAATGCATGAAAGATTGCCCTAAGTTGATTTTTAATGAAATAAAATATCATTATCATGTACATGTTAATGATCGTGTTTTATTTCTGTTAAATGATTTTAAAAGCATATTGTCAGGAATAGTGCAAATCCGCGAATTTACGACAGGTAGGGAGTGTATCTGTACCTACAGACACAGCACTGCAGAAGGTTAAAACTTTATAACTTTTTTACTTCAATAAATTTGGGCTCGCTTTGGCATAGAGAGTTTTGTTCATGTTATTTGTAATGTCAGCAATATATAATGGGTGTTAAAATTATTAGTTTATATTCTCAATATAAATTGGCTACATTTGTCAGATTTGTCACGCTATATTAGCCAATGCTAGTTAGGCGGATTTGCAGTATCCCCGACTATATGCGAATATACATAGACCCTGGTTGTCATGAAAGCTATTGGCGGTTAGGTCTACTTTATATATAATACGGTTAGGTCTACTTTAACACCCTTGAAAACCACCAAAAAAAAACAACCGAAAAATAACCCGTCCATTAAAGATAAATCACAACACTTGACGTTAGTCGGCATTTTCGTTTTTCCGTCACTTTAGTTTTTATGGGATAAATGGTGTTTTAATTGGACATCAAATATAAAATTAAATATTAGGAAAGGTTTTCTCTTTAACAAAATGAAATCATTAATAGTTATTTTATAAATTGTTTATGGATTTTAAATCATTAATAGTTATTTTAAAAATTGTTTATGGATTTTAAAGTTTTGATAACAAGTGAGAGTTTTTAGTCATTTTATTTTAATTCTAAAGTAATTTAATGCTAGTAATTCTAATAATGCAAAACATATTCAAGCCATCTTGCTTATAATATTAGAAAAACTATATTAATATAGTAATATAGCTAATGTTGTTTACATGTTATCTAAAATAAAATTAAACGTTTCACTTTTTTTTAATATATATATTTGTAGAATATAATATTTTATTATTACTTATCAAATAATTGTAGACAATAATATTTAGTAATCAATCAATATATTTCTAAAATAGCTGGTGGTTACATTTCATAGAAATAGAAATATTACTAACATTAAGTAAACACCTAAAAAAAATGATTAAAATAATAGTAGTTATTATAATAAACATAAGAATTATAATTAATATTAAAGATTTTATTAAAGAATATAAAAAAAATATTTTATTAATTAAAAAATAATTTTATTTTTTAATTAATTTTTAATAATAAAAGTAATATTTATAATAATAAACATAAGAATCACAATGTAAAAAAATAAGAATTATTACCAATAATATCATAAAATAATAATGATAAAATTAATAAGTTACTTGTTGTTATCAACACAATACCTGTATATACAAAGTTAGCCAGTTACAAACAAAAAAACAGGAAAAATTATAATAAAATTAAAAATAGTAATACCAGCAATAACAATATTTATAATATAAATAACAATAACAAAAAAGATTAAAAATAAAAAAATATATATTAATATTAAAAGATGTAATACTATAAAAAAATCAAAACTGACAAAAAACATAACAAAAAAAAACAAAAAAAAAAAAAAAAAAAAAAAAAAAAAACACTACAAAAATAGAAAATTTAATATTGTTGCATGCATACACAAACATACATCAAACATACATATACACATATATAAATATACGCACATTTACATGTATACACAAATATATATATACTTATACAGAAATATACATATGAGCCTACATGCACTCACATACAAATGTATATGAACATGTATAGGTATATAGTTTTAAAAATATATCCAACTTAAAAAATTGTCTAACCAACATTAAACAAACTGGAAAGGAAAAAAAACAACAGGGTAATACAAGTATTTCACATAAAAAACATGATAGTATGAGCAATACACGACAATGCCTAATGAACAATACAAAATATCTAAAGACAAACAAAAAACAATAAACAACAAACAATGCAAACAGGGCACAAAAATATAAAATGAACAACCTACAAAAATACAGGACTATTCAAACACAAAAGTATGGCAATATAAACAATATACAAAAATAATTTAAAGAATTAATTATAGTCTATAATTAATTCTAAGCCAACATAGAAGGCTTTATTCTTTATATAATAATATGTAAACTAAAATATAAAAACAGGTTAGTTTTAGTATACACATAATTAAACTCAGTAAGGATAAAAATAATTATAAGAATCAGCACAATTTCAATCAAAAAAATTATTAATTAGTGAAAAAAAAAAAGACTTTTTATTTATCTAAAATTTTTGCAAATTTAGTTAATATATCTTTATTGAGTTTTTAATAATGCGAACTTATACATTTTATAGATGTTGCTGTTATCTCTAAAGTGTTTAGTTATCTATTTTTTTTTCTTTTTTCTTTTTTTATTTATGATTTAATTTTTGTTTCTACTAGCTCTAAGGCTTTTATACTGATACTACAATAAAAGTACAAATAAAATTTTTGTTTAACCAGAGCCAAATCTTGTTTAACCAGAGCTTTTTACTAATATTCTTTAAGTAAAAAGTAATAGAAATTCTTAATTGATTCTTTGTTTTGTTAGATTCTGGTGAAGAAAGTTTGTTTACCACTCTTTCAACTGAATTAGAGAGACGACTCCCTAAAGCTGCTGTTGAGTGGAAAAGGTATTATTTACTCTACATAATATTTACTTTTTAAATTTTAAAAATAAAATTTTAAAACAATGTAAACTAAATTTTAAAACCATGTAAAACAATGTTACTTAATAAAGTTATAATATTAATTTTATTAAAATAAAATAATATAACATAAAATATTATATTTAAATACCAAAATACCTTTTTTAAAGTTTTTAGTATCTTTTTTTACGTTATAATTTTTTAAATCTATTGCCTGATTATTTCTTAGCTTTATTAAACTTTTTTACAAGAAAATATATTTTTTAATGGGATTTTTTTATAGTAGATAAAAAATTTTTTTATCTGTAATATGTATATATAAAAAAAAAGTTTTATGTTATGTTTATGTCTTGAAATTAATTTTACAAGAATCTATATTTTTTCAAGGAATTAAATTTATGTTTTTTAACTAAAGTCACTTCCATTATAATTAATGAGGAAACAATAAAAAAGAAAGAGAAAACCAATTTACATATAAAACTAATAAAAAGAAAAATAGATATATCTATTACTCAATATTGGAACCACCATGTCTACACTTTTTTCGCAGAAAAACTCAGTGTTTTGTTGATATTGTTTTGGAGTATATAATTGATTGCAAAACCACAACTGACACAAACTGCTTTCGCATTGAACCATTGAATTAATAAAACGTTTGCATTTTCTACAATGAAGTAGTTTTTGTTTCTTACTTGGTATGTTTATATTGTTTGCGTAGTTTATATTACATTTTAAACATAGACTATGCTATTTTTTATTCTACTTTTTTATCCATTGCTCAAACTTCTCATTTGTTTCAGTCTGAGTCTATCAATTCTTAATTAAAACTTTCAATGACACATGAGTGCTGTGATCATCTGATAAAAGAATGCTCTCCGACAATCACTTTAACTGCTGGGATTAAAAGCTGTTCCAAACACTAATAAAACTGCAATTTCTCTATTCATCCCAAATCTGATCTTATATACACTGTGCTGGTTGGACTAATTTTGTATTATGATTAATATAAATATATTTTTGATTATGACAGCTTCATATTATTTTTTGCAATTGTTAAAATAATTGTCAATAGTTATATATTAGGTGCAAGATGACGCGTGTGTGCCATTTTGTCATTTTAAATTAAATGTTCTTATTTTTGTGTTTCTTAAATAGTGTAGAAATTATATTGGCTTGGATCATACCATAATCTCAAATGCTAAAACATTTTATTAAATAAATCGAAAACTTTTCAGTTTACACTGATAAAGCTGTTGCCCTTCTGGTTCTAGAATTGTGTTTTGGAGTTATAGAGTTGAAAGATGGTTAAAACCACAAGTAGCCTACTTATCTGTAGTGGCCTTCTCGATCTTGGATCTCAAGCTAAAATAAATTTAAAAAACTGGTAAAAAATAAGCCATTTTTCATAAAAGTTCAAATTTTTCAAAAAAGTTTTGTTGCAAATTAAAACAAAACGCTTTTTTTTTGGGCAAGCCCCTTTTTATGCACTCGCCAAAGTTTTTGCAGACATGTGGACAAGCGCAAAAAAATTTTAGTGAGAAAGCCAAAACTTTTGCGCTCAAGCTTTTTTGCGCTCAGAGAAGACTGATATATATATATGTATATATATATATATATATATATATATATATATATATATATATATATATATATATATATATATATATATATATATATATATAATATATATATATATATATATATATATATATATATATATACTTATTGATGATTCATGAATTATTTAGGAATATTGTTTTTTAAATTTTATTTTTTTAGTGTTTGCCTAGTTTAATTTAACAATTGTTTCTTTAAAGATCTTATGGGCGACCTCCAAAAAGTGTTATTCTGCAAGCTAGTTTTTGTAAATTTGATTCCAACCGACTATCATCATCACTTGATCCAAATTTGCAAACTAAACCATTACTGCATATATTCTGGACATCTTGTTTGGTAATATTTTATTTGTTTTACTTTATTGAAGTTATTTATGTTATGTTTTTATTTTTTGGCTCAGGAAATATACAGCTACAAATAGTCTTATGACTAACTTTATGTTATTAAAAAATAAATTTCATGGTTAAATCACGGCATGGTTAACCACTCATGCCGTGATTTTGCATATATATATATATATATATATATATATATATATATATATATATATATATATATATATATATATATATATATATATATCAACTTGCTCTAATCACAAACTCTATATAGTTTACAACTTGTCTAAAAATCGACATCAAAAATTAACAATTTTATTGCTGATATAAGGAAGCAAACTTGTTGTAAATATCAGTCATTTAAAAGTAAAGAAGAAAAAGAAATTGAAAAAAATACTAAAGGAAACCACTATGTGGTTTTTTTTTTTCAGATAATAAATATTTTGATGGTGAAATATTTTGATGATGAAATATTTTGTGGTGAAAAGTAGTAAAGGAAATGATATTACAACAACAAAAGTTCATCAGAAATTTTTACAGCAGTTTCGAGTTGATCCACATCATGTTTCTGGTAGTACCACAATTAACTTGTTTCTCTGCGCAGCGGCCTTGTTTATCAAGGTTCGTGTTTTGGAATTATAGAGTTGAGAGAGGGTTGTAACCACAACTAAAGTAGCCTCCTCGACTCTAGTGGCCTTTGTAGCCTTGGGGAGGTAAATTCAAATAAAATAAAATAAAAAGGACCAGTATAGTAGCTGATCTTTTTGCTTCATTCAAATGAAGGACTTGAAGGTTAATAATCTATAAGTCTTCATTTCAACAGTACTATGTTTAATTTAGATTTTAAAGACTTTTCTTTTGTTACAGGGTTCCCTCTCCTCCTTAAAAACCTTAAATATCCTTAAAAAATAAAAACCTCCTTAAATGTCCCTAAATAACCTTTAAAAAAGGTAAAATTTGACTGCTCTCTTTAATTTTCCTTTTTTTTTTAATTTTAATTCTAGGAAATTTTATTAAAGTGAATGTAACATATTAATTTATTATAATTGCTCTGTTTATATTTAAAGTTTATTGAATAATAAGATTCTGTTTTTAATGTAATCATTTCTCTCCTTAATTCTCCTTACTTTTTCTCTTTCAAAAAATTGTTATTCGCAACTAAATGTCCTTAAATATTAGAAAAATATCTCCTTAAATCTCCTTAAAATCCTTACTTTTAACCTCAGTTTTAATAGCGCCTGTGTGAATTTTAAGTATATTCTTGGAAATGTTGTTTGTATAAATGAAAAATTTAAAGACTGATTTTTAAATCCAGTTTAGTAATCTAGTAGTGCAACACTAGTATTAATAATAATCTTGTAAAATGCTGTATCTGGAAATCTTTAAAATTTGTTTTCAATAACTCAATTATTTACTTTGATTAGTTAATGTCAAAGACCCTTCTAAACTGCTAATTAGAATTATAACATTTAAAATGAGGATGCTCCCTCATGGTTAAGCATAAAGCCTCTTTCTTTTTGGTAATCAAAGCAAAACAAAGTGTCAAGTAAATGTCCGCTTTTTTTTTTTTTTTATTTTGTGAAAAATAAAGGTAATAAGTTGTATTTTAACAAAATTATTAAAATAAATTTGAACTTTTGTTTAAATTATTAATTAAAAACAAGTTAAGCCTTTTAAATTTCACAATAAAAGTTATTTTTGTGAAGTTTGATATATTCTGCGTGTAGTTTAGGAGAAAGAGAAACTGATATTACTAACCCTATTTATATGTAAAACAAATTTATTTTTATAATTTTGTAATCTTTGCATTTGCATTCCATTTGCTGTTTTTAACAATCAATAAATAAAGAGTTTGACAACATGACACTAAGAATTGAAGGCTCAAATTTTTTTTTTTGTACTTAAACTTGTATATGAGGAGTTCACAATTACATGCACTTATGAACTCCTTAAGTATATAAGTACCAAGTACTCAATGTTTTTTTATAAAGGTATGCTGAAATTTCTTTTTCAAATTTATCACAATTAGTTACAGCAAGTCCCATTCATCTACAACACATATGTTGTTGACTCAGCTGAGACAATATTCGCAGCAATATGTTGTTGAATTTGTGAGAATTAATCTGAAATTAATGGTATCTCACAAATTCAATTAACCAAAAAGAATGAATTAAACTATTTATAATTGCTAATGTTTCTTAAAAATATTTAATAGAGACACTGTTGCAGCATCTATTTTGCAAACATTGGTTTTTATCAAAAATTGTTTGGTTTTGATAAATATGGGATATTTTAAGTTTGCCAACAATTTTCTATTGATATGGTCTCACTAATAAATTATTTTGGTTTTTAGAAAACAAATGGTCTTTTCCAAACAAATCTTGCCAACAATTTGTTTGAAAAGGACTTTTCTAAAAACCATTTTGCGAAAGACCTTGCCCAATGGAAAGTACAATGATGAATGTACAATACAATATATCAAGTCAACAATGTTTTTAATATTATGTTTTATTGTATTTCAATATGTGTATAAAATTTTGCAAATAAATTATTGCATATAATTATTATGGGTTCTTTTATTTGAGAAACCCAGATCAATAACAGTATTTTAGTGTTTTAGAATAAAGTATTGTTTAAAGCAGGGCTGTGGAATCGAAGTTGCGAAGTTGCAACATTTTTAGAGAAGTTGAAGTCGCTAAACAAAATCGCGACTCTGACTCCAATAGTAAAACTTCTCGGTATTGCACATACATGTACAAAATATTCAATTAACCTTATGTTCATACTAAACCTCAAAGAAATTTTCATAAATTTGTCAAAAAAGAAATTTTTAACTTATCGCGTAATATTTTTATAAAAATTCAAAGAATTTTTCAAAAATTTTGCTTTGGAGTTGGGTTCGAAGTCGGAGTTGTGCTCAAAAAATTTTAACAACAAGAGTCGGAGTTGTACTCAAAAAATTTCAACAACTGAAGTCGGAGTCGTTACTTTTTTTATACGATTCCACACCCCTGGTTTAAAGTTTCTCTAATATTAGTAACACTGTTGTTTCTCTTTGAAACACTTCCAATTTCACCTGTAAGCTATGTAAGACGTTGAAACATGGCCATAATACACATTATCCCCTTGAAAAGTATCCAATGTTGTAGCAGCAGGTTTTATGACCAAGGCTTCTTCTTGTAGGCATTCTAATTCTTGCTTTTTAAACTTTGGCGCATTCGAAGGATTACATATATGATTAAGTTTGTCACATAATTCAAGTAATTGCTTGAATGTCTGATACATGTTTCATGAGATGGCAAAGAAATACTTTCGGCTATGAACTCATAATCATCACCATTATGTCCTGGTGAAACTGAAAAAATGTCTCCAATATTAATTACATCAATTTCATCCTTATTAACTTCATCCTCTTCCATGTCTTCTTGCTCTTCAAAAGTATTAGGTGTGATAGTCACACTTACATTAGTTGCTGCTACACTTGTAGTTGACTCTACAAAAAATTCTCTGAATGCTTTTTTAATACTTGACACATTGTTGGTGACAGTTGCTGCGATTTTTTCTACGTTAAGGTCATATTGACAATGAAGTTTAGAAATCATTACTGCAATTGTGTCATATATGTGACTACCATAAAGTCGACGGCAAGCAAGGGATACAGATGCTCATGAAACTGAACTAGATACATCTAGTGGCATTTTAATATAATGCGCAGTCATACCAAGATAACCCTTTCTATTGGCTGACCAGATATCAGCAGTAGTGCAAACAAATTATGCTTTTTTCAGTTCGTTTCTTATTTTTTCATGCACCCTAGAAAGCTTTGAATTTTAACGATTGTTAAGAGTATTCCGACACATGATACTTACGTTTAAAGATTTTTAGGATTAAACCTATAAAGCAGTTAGCAAAAAGCCGGTTTTTCAACTGTAGCCAAAAGATGCATCTTTTCAGTAATATAATTCGTAATTAAGTTGTCAGCTTCTTCTTGCGATATATATTATGACGTCGTGGTAAAAATTCTGATGATGCTTCATGGTAAGTAATTTGTTTGAACTTCGTATTAGCAAGTCTTCATCAGCCATTCTTCCTACACAAGCCTTGCCTAGCTTACATTTTCTCTGAACATTTGCCTTATGTGCCTCATAGTCTCCAAAGCGATTCTTGTGCGAGTTCTATAAAGTAAACATAAATCCTTTAAAAAAATAAGTTTTTACTTGCTTTAAGTATTGTATAATTCGATTTATATTAACTTGTACTGCCTTGCTTTTAATGCATTAAATATTTGTTTGTCGATAAATAATTGCATATTGTTCATAATAGATAGGTAAATTAATTTTAGCTAATACTAGATTTTAAAATTATCTTCGTTGCCGCCAGCGTGCCCGATAATGGCTTTGTGTTACGTACACTTAATAAGCATAATGTCGATATTTTATTACTTTTTTTTTATCTGGCTTTGATTTTGAAAAAGGTACCATCTACAATGGCTGGTAAAAACTGCAGGCATTTTAAATTAAATTTATTGATCTCAACAAATAGTTTGATAATTACCCTAATGAAACCAAGGTCAATAAACCATGGTAGATAAACCAAGGTAGATAAATAATTAAGAAATAATTCAAAATAGTTAGTGGTAGAGTGACATTATGACATAAAAGTTAGTTTAGTTGTTTGTGTGCAGTGTTGTAAATGTTTTAAGCTGTATTTGAATTACAGGTAATTTCAATTAGTACAAAATACTAATCAAAAGTATTTTAAGTACAAATACAAAATACTTTCAACAAAATTATTTAAAATACAAGTACAAAGAAAGTATTTAAAATAGTATTTTAAATACTTAGTACTTTAAATACTCCCAGCACTGGATGAAACCTGCTGTTTTACTTATCCACATTTCTTGGCAATTTCCCATTGTGAAAATGTTTCCAACTTTAATAATGCTTCAACTTTGCCTCGCTTTCTGGGACTAGAGTCAGCAACTTTACCCATATTTTGAAAATATAATATAATCTGACAACAAAAAGTTCTTAAATAATCAAAATCACATATTTAAAATCAGAAAAATATTAAACTGTATCACTATCAACAGCAATAATCTAACAAATATTCACTTAAAGGTCATTTGAACCTTTAATTACATTCGCAAATATTCACTTGTCCACAACTTACATTTTACAAGTCAAAATATATCAAATGTTCACAAAACATATAATTCTACAATAAAAGCTAATATATTCAAATTCAAATCAATAATTTCAATACTCAGCCACACCCACAGGATGTTGATGATAAAATAAAGCTGTGATGCCATTTTTTCAGAATCTAAAAAGTGGTATCAACTAAAAAAAAAGCCTTTTTTTTTTTTGATGGTCTTAATATTTCTCACACCACTGTAATTAGTACAGGGAAGCTATTTGTTATTATGCAGAATATAAAATAATTTTTGGTTACTATGCAAGAAAGGAGTGTGGGAGTTACGTTATGAATAGTTTAGTAGATGGAAGAGTTGTCTTAAATATGTTCATATACCAGTATTACCTGTCAGTGTTAGTGTCTTAAATATGTTCATGTATTTGTGTTTTAAAGGTTGCCACAATCTGATAAAGATTTGAACAATGACAGCTTTTAAATAATAAGCAATAAAAATTTATAATTTAATACAGTGACTATTAATATTTAACTTAATAAAAATTACAAAAATTTGTAATTTTTTCTGTTTGAAAATTATTTTTAATAATCTTTAACTCTAAAACAATATACTACAGGTTAGGAAACAGTATACTACAGGTTAGGAAAGGTTATAAAAGACTTAGTACCTGATTAATATTCTTTTAATGTTTTTTTACACACATTTTCAGATGATTCTTGGCAGTTTAAAATATTTTAAAGTATTATTTAATAGAAACATAATATTTTTAGGATAATGATTATTTCAAGTCCACTGTTAGAAATAGTATATTAAAATGGCAAAAAGAGTTAATACAGCACAGATGTTCCGATTGGTTAATAATACATGTTGTGAAGCAAGAAAATGTTCGATCTGGAAAATCAAAAATTCAACTTCCAAGATCATCAGTATATGACAAAATTAAGTTAGAATTTTGTCAAAAACTTCAAGAAAGGTATTTTTATTCAAATTTTTTGTACAACATTTTAAACAATGTACTTTTAGTTTTTACCTCACATTTATTTTTTTTATTGCATATATCTCCCCAAGTCAAGGAAACCCACTACCATTAAGGGGAGGCTACTCATCTTTTAACTCTGAAACACGATCCATAACAAACAAGAATGCTCTGGGAAAAAATAAATTGAAACTTGAAAGAGAACCAATATTGCATTATTAATTCTTTCATAGAATCATTTTTTAATAATATGTGATCTAGGTCTTTGTCTCAGCTAAATATGGAGTTTTTTTACAACCTCAGCTCAAAGTAAATGATAATGCAAACAAAGGTCATTAGTTGGAGCTAGGATATAATGTATAATACATTGTATACATTATATACATACATACATGTATAACAGGATTCAAATTAACACTAAAAAATCTAATTGCAAAAATTTTTTTTTAATTTGTATTTAAAATATTTTGATATTCAATATAAATTATTTATAATTTAGTTTTCAGTTCACTTGTTTAATATTTTCCATTGAATTTTTTTACTTTTTTAACTATTTTTAAGAAGCAAAAAATGATGTCGCTTTTACAAAGTTTAGGAAATATCAAACTACTATAAATGTTAGCTTAAATAAAATTTCCTTCCTCACACTATCTTTTAAATCTGAAATTGTTACTGTTGCTAGATCTATGTTAGAATTTCCGGAAACCTATTTCTTTTTTTCTGGATAACAATGGCAATTTGCAGACAAGCGTCTTACTTTATCGTTATACCATTTGTCTGTAGCAGAATCCACTTTCGTCTTCACTTATCCGAAAAGAGACTCCAAACGAACTTGTCCTAGACAGCTTTTTCATTCATTTTTTACCCTATTCATATAGGAAAACAAATGTTCCCTTTGCATTTGTAAATGTGTATATATATATATATATATATATATATATATATATCAGGCTTGGTCGGGAAGCGGGAGCGATCGCTCTCGATTGCTGACCACGGAAATAATATTTAGTTACGAAAAGCTGGCCAGATTTTTTAGTCGTTTTGAGAACATTTTAAAAAAACAAAAAAAAAAACGCGAAGATTAATTGGACTGATGAGAGGCAATTACACACACAAAAAAAAAAAATTAGGAAAATAAAATATCTTTAAACGCAAAAAAACTTAAAGGAAAATAAATTACGTTTAGAACAAATATTTTCGAAACATCGCTCTTTTATAATTTTTTTATAAAATTAAGCGACGTTTTTTATATTAAGTAACATCTTACGTTTACTTGAAAATGTTTTTTATTTATCAATGTTTGCAAGTTTTAGTTTTATCTGAGCTAAATTATTTTATAAATAAAAAATATACCTATTCTATGTTTCGCGTAGTTTGAAAAGTTTAACATATTTGAAACAATTCTTCTTAGTAAGAAAAACAAATGAAATAATTAAATCATTGAATTACTAAAGAAATTAAATTTACTAGATAAAAATCAACTAAAAAAGTTAAAAATACTTTTATGACGAAGTAAGCGAAACTGCTTCATAATATCGCTAATGATGTTTAGTGAGTGGGCTTTTTAATTTTAATTAGTATATAAAGCAGAAAAAAGTATAACGAGTTTTTAAGAATGGCAACTTAATCGAAAATAATTCAATTTAGTGAACCAATATCTAAAAACTTATATCTATTTAGTGAACCAATATCTAGAAAATAATAGTTTATAAAATTTACGGCTATGCAGATGTGGCTCCGAGAATGAGCCATAGAATTAATAATATATTCTTATAACAATCTATGCTAGAAATCTCAAAACGTAACAAATCATGAATAAAACAATTTCTACAACATTTCAACATAATACTCTAGAACTTTATTTGGCTTAGTCAGTGTATTTTTTAACCAATAGAATTAGTTTGTTCGTTAATTTGGCGGGTTTTTATAGTTCGCGAATATTCTTTTCATTCTTCCGCACCAAGATGATTTGAGAACATTCCAGTTTTTTATGATTCCATATTTGTCCGTAAAACCAAAATTTGTTGTTTCGTACGAAAAATTAAATGTTCTCAAAACAACTAAAAAACCTGGCCAGTTTTTCGCAACTAAATATAATTTCCGTGGTCAGTATACGAGAGCAATCGCTCCCGCTTCCTGACTAAGTCTGATATATATATATATATATATATATATATATATATATATATATATATATATATATATATATATATATATATATATGTATGTATGTATGTATATATATATATATATATATATATATATATATATATATATATATATATGTATATATATATATATATATATATGTATATATATATATGTATATATATATATATGTATATATATATATATATGTATATATATATATATATATATATATATATATATATATATATATATATATATATATATATGTATATATATATATATATATATATATATATATATATATATATATATATATATATATATATATATATATATATATATATATATATATATATAATTATACAAGTCACATCCTACACCAATTAACAAATCTGAGAAACAATCAATGACTTCACTGATAACTTTGTTGCCAAAAGTACCATCGTTTGCATTTAATCGCCAGTTAAAAACATCAAATAAAGCTACTAATTGCACAAACAATGGTGATTTTTGGAGAGATTGAAAATGCATTTCCATACTTATGTAAATATTTGCAATAACTAGTTTGTACTGCTCAAGAGCTTTGGCATATTGAGAAAGTGTAACATTTTAATAATGATATTTTGTATCGATAATTTCTATATCTTTATACAGTTTTCTATAGTGGGTCATGACACTCGTGTCATCAAGTGAATTGTCTACATAATTTTCTAGAAGAATTTGTAGCTTGGCCATTGTCTATGTAAATTCTTTAACTCTTCTTACCACTTTTACCAGATCGTGAATATTGCTATGAAAACTTATACTCAAGCGCCTAAGGGGAGATAAAACATTGAGATATATTGAAAGATAAATAAGGACTTTTCCACCGCTTTAAATATCTTTTAACTTTGCTCTTTTTGTTATAGCCAGTGAATCAATATGTGTCATAAATACACAATTTTCTAAAGTAATTTCCATTGCTTTGTTCTTGTGATCAATCCATCAAGTTCCGCAAGCTTTTGTTGGTTTTGGAACGCTACTACTCTAACGTTACTTTAATTAGTTTACTCCTATGATCCTTATTTGCATCAAATTTAAAGTAAGAAAATACATTAATAAAGTGTTTTTTTTATCACTAAAATAGCTGTTTGAATTGCATTAACACTATTTTTCATTTGAACAACATTAAAAAAATAGCCATAATATACGTTTATAATAAATGAGCAATATTTGAATAAATCCCCTGAGAATTTGGGTTGAGAATTTCACTTTTCAATTAATTAACTTTTTTTTCTTTCCTTTAACATTGAAATAAAGCCCTTGGAAGTTTTGGTTGAGAAATTAACTTTTCAACCTTTTTTTCTTTCTTTTATTTTAAATTTTGTTAAGATTCAAAGATCTATTTTTTTAATTCTTTTTTTTTCTTTTTCTTTTTTTGACATGTTTACCCTAAAGTATTTTTATAATGCTTTTTTCTGAATCTGAACATTTTTGCAAAATGATTTCGGTACTTTTATTGAATCTTTCATTTTTATTTCTGTTTCTATATTTTCTGGTTTTAGAAAATCTGGTATTACGGACATCACTACAGTTTCCATTAAATTAAATTTACATAATTGTAAAAGCATGTTTAAAAATTTCAAAACTTCAAGACTAAAATTCTTTTTTTAAATTGTTTTAAATTGTTTAAAAATTTTCAAAGTTTCCAGTTTTGTATATATATATATATATATATATATATATATATATATATATATATATATATATATATATATATATATATATATATATATATATATATATATATATATATATATATATATATTTAGTTAATTCACATCATCAAGGCTGAGAAGGCAACTACAGTTGAGGAGGCTACTTATTTGTGGTTATAACCCTCTCTCAACTCTATAACTCCAAAACACGAACCTAAAGCGCAGTACTCAAGGTTTGTGGTAGTACTGCGCTTTGTGGGTTTGAACTCGGAACCTCTCGCTTATGAAGGGAGCGCCCTACCACTACACCACTACCGCATTTATTCAAGATTATATGAACAAAAGAGTTTTAAAATAATAAAATTCTGCTGTTCAAATAGATTTTGATTTGAATGAAATTCTAAAATTAAAAATTAAATTTGCATATTTTTATAAAATGTTATGCCTTGTTATCGCTTTAAATATTATGAAAGTATGTAAAAAATGATATTGCATTTTTCATAATCTAATTAAAATTTCTTATTAAAGTAATTTCTTGGTTATAAGCTTTTTATGTGTTATTAACATATAAAATATAAATAGAAACATTTCTAAACTTTGCAAGTTTAGGAATGTTTGAGCATTAAAATATATTTATTAGTTAAACTTAGTAAATCAACTTAATGGTTATTATGATTTGCTTTTTAGGTAAATTTAGTGTAAAGTACTTTATCAATAAAGTACATTAAATTTTAACTATAAAATTTAAATAATTATTAACTTCCATGCAGAGATTTAAGTAACTAAAATTTAGAAGCGCTTCACAATGAATGAAAGTCTCTGCAAGAAAGCAAAAATATATATATATATCTAATACTTTTATTTAAAAGTTAAATTTAGCATGACACTACTTTATAACCTCACTCGATAACATTTAAAAATTAAAACACTCACAATAATATTTATTCTTAATTTTTTAAAGAAAAAAAAAATTTAAAAAAAAAAAAATTTTAGTTGACTTTTTGCTCAGATTTGATAGGTTGGGTTCTGTTTAGAAACTTCTGCTTTCAATTTTACCTAACAGTTTTTTATGGGGTTTAAATAAGATGATTTGCCTCGCCGTGAGGTTTAATATTATTTACATTTTCTTAGAGCATTTATAATTTTTGCTTGATGCCAAATTGCCCTATTGTACATGAAAATATCAAACATTCTAATTCGAAACCAATCAGACACATTGTTTTTCAAAATGGTTTTGAAAATCATAACTTTTTTCTTGATTCTTTTTTGGAAAATCATACCTTTCTCTGTGATTGCTGACTTGATGCATGTGTCTTTTGTTTAAGCATTAAAACTAAATCTATTTAGAGCTGCCAGTTATGAGAAAATTTCTTCGATTAAGTGCTGTTTTTGTTGAAATGGTTTTTGCTTCTTTTTTGTTCTTAACATATTTTATATATCATGTTTTTGATTAAGGTGGAACACATTCTTATTAAGGATCCTGTGAACTGAGGCTTGTTTCTACCTATCTTGCACACACTTTCAAATTGATCTTTTTCATGTTTCCAGATTAATTAAATATGTTTCCAGATTAATTATATTTAAATTCGCAAAAAAATTATTTTTCTAAATTTTACCAATTTAAAGGTCGGTAAAAATAAATTTATTGGTAAATTGATAAAAAAAAGTTAAGTAACTACCCTTAATAATATAAAGAGATTTTTTCAAAGCAATTAAAAATACGAATGCATTTAGTTAGTTTTTTGTCCTAAAATATGTGCTAACATCAGTAAAATACAACAAAAACTTATAACAAGGCCTAGAGTGTTATGCAAAAAAAAAAAAAAAAAAAAAAATCATAACAAGGTTTGAAGTGCTATGCAAGTAAAACTCAAAATAAGGCATAGAGTAATAATGATAAATAAAAAATGGTAAGATTACTAGTTAAAGAAAATAATGGTAAAATTTTTAGTTATAGAAAATAATGATAAGAATATAAAGAAAAAATTATCGTAAGATTGTTTGTTTCATTAGGTAAAGAAAATGTTGTAACTACATTGTATTAAGTTGTAACACAATATAAGGCTACAACTTAATACAATGATCTCTGTGTTTGTCTATTATTTTCTGCTGTGTGGTATCCAGGGTTGAAAACAACTAAAAAAACCATGGTTTTTTTTATTTAAACTTCTTTTTTTTAAATAATATGTATATATATATATATATATATATATATATATATATATATATTTTAAATATGTATATATATATATATATATATATTTATATATTTATATATATATATATATATATATATATATATATATATATATATATATATATATATATATATATATATATATATATATATATATATATATATATATATATATATATATATATATATATATATATATATATATATATATATATATATATATATATATATATATATATATATATGCTCAATTACCAAAGCAATTGCTGCATTTTGATTCCTTTAATTTTAGTGTTCTTTCTGACATTGAGTAGTGAATTAAATTGCATTATGACGTTGGTGCTTCCAGTATAATAGATTTGTGCATTATTAAAAGGATCTTGAAATACATTCTTTCTCTAATTTTCAGCCAATGCAATTTGTTAAATTCCTGTTTGTTTACATGATTTTCTATTCTAGTTTTAAATACAAGTCTTGCTGCACAATTTTGAACAGAATGCAGTTTTTTTAATAGTGATTTTATTTTCAAAGTAGAGGAAGTTGCAATAATCTAGCTGTGCAAATATTATTGAAATACTATGTTACACAAATCTTTGTGCGATAAGAATTGTTTTATTTTGGATATTTTGCTCAATATATTGGAACAGTTTTTAACAATCTTATTTGTGCTTTTAAAGATAATTCATTGTCAAATATCACCCCTAAACTTTTTGCTGAGTCAACAAATCTAATGCATTCCTTGTTAATAAAAGTACCTTTAATAATAATTATATCTTTTTAAATGTTAGGTGGTGCCATAATTAATATTTAATGATTCACTCATTCATTTAGATATGTATTCAAGACATTTAGATATGTATTCAAGACATTTAGATATGTATTCAAGACATTTAGATATGTATTCAAGACATTTAGATATGTATTCAAGACATTTAGATATGTATTCAAGACATTTAGATATGTATTCAAGACATTTAGATATGTATTCAAGACATTTAGATATGTATTCAAGACATTTAGATATGTATTCAAGACATTTAGGTATTCAAGACATTTAGATATGTATTCAAGACATTTAGGTATTCAAGACATTTAGATATGTATTCAAGACATTTAGATATGTATTCAAGACATTTAGATATGTATTCAAGACATTTAGGTATTCAAGACATTTAGATATGTATTCAAGACATTTAGGTATTCAAGACATTTAGATATGTATTCAAGACATTTAGATATGTATTCAAGACATTTAGATATGTATTCAAGACATTTAGATATGTATTCAAGACATTTAGGTATTCAAGACATTTAGATATGTATTCAAGACATTTAGGTATTCAAGACATTTAGATATGTATTCAAGACATTTAGATATTCAAGACATTTAGATATGTATTCAAGACATTTAGGTATTCAAGACATTTAGATATGTATTCAAGACATTTAGGTATTCAAGACATTTAGATATGTATTCAAGACATTTAGATATGTATTCAAGACATTTAGATATGTATTCAAGACATTTAGATATGTATTCAAGACATTTAGATATGTATTCAAGACATTTAGATATGTATTCAAGACATTTAGGTATTCAAGACATTTAGATATGTATTCAAGACATTTAGGTATTCAAGACATTTAGATATGTATTCAAGACATTTAGATATTCAAGACATTTAGATATGTATTCAAGACATTTAGGTATTCAAGACATTTAGATATGTATTCAAGACATTTAGGTATTCAAGACATTTAGATATGTATTCAAGACATTTAGATATGTATTCAAGACATTTAGATATGTATTCAAGACATTTAGATATGTATTCAAGACATTTAGGTATTCAAGACATTTAGATATGTATTCAAGACATTTAGGTATTCAAGACATTTAGATATGTATTCAAGACATTTAGGTATGTATTCAAGACATTTAGATATGTATTGAAGACATTTTGGTATATCTAGGACTAGAGCATTATATTGAGATAAAGGAAGGAATGTTTTAGAGTTTGATGATCATCTGAGTATCCAAAAGTTTTAACAATGATTATGTTCAGATATTTGTATAGTGGTCTCATATAGATATTAAAGAGTTTTTGACCCAGGACTGTACCTTATAGTGCTCCATATTTACATTTTGGTTTTTGGAATATCAGTTACCAATTTTAACCTATTTAATTATGAGTCAATTATACCTATTTCACTGGTTAATAGTCCAAGTAGTTTTTACTGATCAATAGTGTTGAAGACAGCACTTAGATCAAGTAACATGAGTTCTGAAGGTGTATGTTTATCAAAGAGTTCAAATATATCATTAGTAAGCTTAAGTAAAAGTATTTCATATGATGTTCTATATGAAGATTGTTTATTGTCATCTGGGAATCAAGACGATTGGAAACTACTCTTTCTATTAGCTTGCTAATGAATACTAAATTAGAAACTGGTATATAGTTTTTGAAGTCTTCAGTATCTGTGGCATAGTCTAACTTTTTTATTATTGGAAGTAATGTAGCATTTTTTGGAATTTTGTGGCATAGTCTAACTTTTTTATTATTGGAAGTAATTTAGCATGTTTGTAAATTATTCTGTAGTAGGTAAGCTGGAATCAAATCATCATGAGAACATTTTACTCCAAATAACATGGTGATTTTGTAAATTCCTTCATACCTTGTTGGATCAAAATTTCTTAATAACTGCCCATTATAATCTGATGTGTTTTTCTTTGTTTGGGATATTTGAAGACGAGACCTGAGTTTTCTGATTTTTTTAGTAAAATAATTATTTAAGTTGTTAGCTAGTTCTTCGTCTGAATCGGCTGTTGGTAATTCTTGAGTTTTATCTAGTAGCTTGTTTACCATTAAGAATTAATTTTTACTTGTAGTGTTTTTATTTAATATGTTTTTTTTATATATAATTATTGTTATTTTTTTCCGGAGGCGTCTATATTCTTATTTGTCATTTTCATTTTTTGTTCTCCTAAACAACTTTTTTGCTTTTCTTCGTTTTTGCCTAAGTTGCATATATTCTCAGTCAAACCAAGTAGCTGTTAAGACTATTTTTATTCTTTTTATTTTCAAAGGGGCATGTTTCTGCACAATTTCTTTCATTATTTAGTTATTTATGGTTATTTTGTCTTGCATATTTTCAGCTGATGATATTTCTGGTTTATTACTTGATATATCATTGTTAAAGGACTGTTTGTCCACTATTTGTAATTTCCTGTATGTCCAAGTTTCAGCTTTTTTGGCCTGGGCAATTATAGAACTCTAAAAGTATTATTTACCTCGCCATTATCTTTGCAGCATTTTTAAATTGAATTAAAGTTGCATTATTAATAAATTATTTTCTTATAATATAACAAGTTAAATTAAATGAAAAATGGTTTTTATATTATATTTAGTTTTCTAAAATGATTTCTTTTATAGTTTTTTGTTTGTTAGAATATCGCCCTCCTTTCTAAAAGTTTATTTATAACTTTTTTTTACCAACTCTTTGTTAGTAATGACTATATAAATTAAAAAGAAAAATAAAGTGCCTATCTTGAGTTCTTGTTTAGATGTCTTCAATTATGGGAGCCTGACAAATCAACTTTGTTTACAAAGTCTGGAGAATCTTGGGACATGCTTCTTGTTCAATTAAGGCGATTGCTGATTAATTCTTTTGGTAATTACTTAGATTTATTTGAAGAAAAAATCCGTGTTGCTCGTGAGAAATATGCTGATCCTGATTGGTCGTTTATTGAATATTTTATTGCACATGTAAGTCCTCATTTTTTTAGAATTTTAACTGTTTTTTATAATTTATTTTTTTAGAATTTAAATATTTTTTATAACTTTAACTGATTAAATGCTATCTTAATGAAACTAATTAGATGTTAGATTGGTGTTGGTTGTTAGAAAAGTGTTGGTTGTTAGATGGGTGTTGGTTATATGGCCACAAGTGTTATTATGTTATGTTGATTAAACCTGGTTTTGGCTTTAGATTCATGTTTTTCCAGCTCCTCATATTTTTTGTTTTCATAATGACTTTTAGTTCATTTTTTTGTTTTAAATCTATTTTGTATTAGTTAAGTTTAATTAATACAAATTAATTTTACTGTTTAGTTTCATGGTTTTTTTAAATCATAGTTTGATGTAACATTTAAAATATTTTTATCTATTTGCTGCAATGATCAGTGGGAGTACATTGTTTTACATGCATTTTCCAAACCTTTATAAGTTTAATAATAAGTTATAAGACATTAAACCTCACAATAATTTATGGCAATAGGAGACTTTAATTGCTAAATTCATATTAGATTTTATCTTTTTGAAAAAATAATTTTTCGGTATTAGGAATGTTACTGAGGTAATTTTATTGTAGCCAGATTTATTTATAAGATTCCAACTGGGTCCCATTGGTGGTTATCAATTGAGATATCAGCATCTTCATTAATGCTACTTATCAATATTTGATAAAATAAATTAAACATTATTTTGGGGTTATTTGAACTGTCAGTATCTTTGCTTGCTTGATTTACAAAGTTATCTATGCTATGAATAAAATACTAAATCAGTATCAATGTGATAATGGTCTTTATTCATTTTGTTATTTTTCATGGAAGATCTAAATATATAGCTATTGCAAAGAAGTTATTAAAAGAAAGGTTTTTGATTTAATTGTTTAAAGGTACATATGGTTTACTGTTTTTCAATTATAGTAATTGACCAGGGCCCTGGCCCCAGGCTAAATTTAATAGTTGCTTTAGTTTTAATAGTTGCTTTAAAAGAGAAAAGAAAAAATTTAAATAAATTTTAAACTATATTTATATTTATTAAAATGTATTTTTATATTTTAAGCTTAAATTTCTTTTTGATTGTTTTAAAACATATTGGGATTAATAAACGTTGATAAATAATATATATATTAATAATATATTAATGATGACTATGATGATTAAGATGATGATGATGATTTTAATTATAAATTTTTGATCTCCAAAAATTATTCCCAAAAATTATGATTTGTATTTAAACAACCCCAGCTACTAACCTGGCCCAGGACTAATTTTGTCAAACCAAAGTCAAAAATTATTTTTTTAAAATTTAAAAATGTTCTACATTTTATGTTTTAATTGATATGTGATTTAATTTAAAAAAAGGTATTCTAGCCTCATCCCATGTATCATATTTGGTTCACAGTGAAACAGTGCATGATGAATGAGTAGTAGATTTTCTTTGAATTTGTTTAATATTCTTTGAGTCCTCATATATTTGGTATATATGTCCTCATATATATTAAAAATGCGAGCTTGAATCCAGATAGTTTTTCAGAAAAAGAATAAAAACAAACAAAGAATAATCAAAAAATTATATTTTTTTTTATGCTTTAATAAAAGTTATTCATTTCTAAATTTTTTATATCTGTCCAAACCCAAACCTTTAGTTGATCTATGTACTGAAGCACCTGCAGTCTCCTATTTCAGTATCTTTCTGCAGCAAATGGAAGATGTTCTTCTGTTCTCAATTTACTTTAGATATTATTGGTTCGCCATCCAAATTGTAACCAATTTTATGAACAAGCATTTTTTTAATGTTTTAGTTTCCAACTTCAATAACTTTTAATTAAAAAACTTCTTTACCATGTTCAATGCTAAGTTTTTACCTTGTTTGAAACTTCTCAATAAACGTTTGTAATTGTATGAAGTAGACGTTTTTTCATAAAACTCTGGATTATATTTTTACCCTTATTACAATCATTATTACCCAAAAAAAAGATTGTTTCACTAAACAAAAATTAAACACATTTGTGTATATTTGAATTAAATAATTTACTTACACCTTCAGTTGTGTTATTCTTATACTGCTAGAAACTCCAGTCAAGTTCCAGTAGAATAAGGGTAGATTAATACTTTAGTAAAAAGTTTTATAAGACAGTAAGATGACAATCAATATTTGAATTTACTTATGAAGGACAAACACTATAATATAATAAAAAGTAATTACCAATGCGGTAGTGGTGTAGTGGTAAAGCGCTTGCCTCAAGCGAGTTACAAGTTTGATACCCACCATGTCCCTGGTAGTACCATGCTTAATTTGTTTCTTGTTCGTCAAGGTTTGTGCTTTGGAGTTGTAGAGTTAAGAGAATGTTGTAACCACTATTCAAGTAGCCTCCTCAACTGTAAACGCCTTTGATGGATCATTAAAAAAAGTAATACAATAAAACAATATAAATTTTTTTTTTTTTTTAAGTGAAAAATTTTTTGTATAAAAGTAAAATTAGCCAATTATACTCCAAATTCGAATTGTCAACACTTTCAACACAAGATTTTTGTATAACGTTTCATTTATGTGATTTCTCTTTTTTTTTAATTCTTTTTGATAAACTTTTCCTACCTGAAATGACTTTTTCACCCATTTTAGCTTTTTGGTCTTTCAAGTATTTCTTTTTTTTAACTAATATATAATTAAAAAACAAAAACAATGTACACTATTTATAATCAATTTTTTTGCTATAATGAACTTAAAAAACACATTTTAATATAAATTAAAAACAAGTTATTAAATACTTTTTTGAGCTCAACAAGTATTATGGTTATTTGTGAAACATTTTGTTGATCAGTATTTTTTTTTTTTTTTGCAGTGAATTGTTTCTTGAGCTTGTAGCTAAACTGTATAGCCTGTTTAAAAGTAAGAAGATCACTAACAGAAAGATCATCCCTGCAAACTGAGAGCTTGTGTTGCCAGTTCTACTTGTGACTTGGCAACTTGTCCAATTGTAAATATTATCTATTTGAAAAAAATATTCAGTTGCATAGTAGAAAATGTCAACAGAGTATCCATCTATTTTTTTCATTTGGTTGTTAGATTCATGGCTTTTATACTTAAAAAATGAAAAATGTTGACAAAAAATAATTACAGATTATTATCAATAAATAGCAATAACTATCAAATAATGAGTTACTTATTAAATATAAAAATACATAATAACACACGTTTAGCACAGATCCTTATAATGCCTACCTAGCTGTCCCAAGGACGCCACTTATACGGAAAGTTAGCGTACACATCAAGGTACCTTGTAATGCTAATTTTGAAATCATTTAATTTTGTTTGCGGAAAATAATTTAATTTGAATGTTCAAATTAAGTCAAAATTTGACTTCATAGTGCGCCAATAAAAACACTTGTAGAATTTGAACCACTCAATATAATTTGATAAAAATTAGTGCAAATGCAGCCAATAGTCACACCAAACTCTTGACAAAATTTCAGCCTGATTGGATGACTGGTGTTGAAGTTATTGCAGTTTTAGTTGAAGTTTTGTCAGTTTTTTGCTACTTACACCTCAAAGCGTTACTGATTACTTTGAAATTCGGTCACTATTTTTAAAATAACGGTTACATGAGTGTTCTACAATGCAATACTAACAATTTTTGTTATAATTATTTTATTGGTACATGTACAGTTTTCATTTTATAGACCAAAATAGTGATTTTCTACTTAAAGGGTGATTTAAATAGTCTTATGCTAATAGTGTCGACACGGCCTTCAAAGTGGAGTCAACCCCTCAATTTCTAAATTTAAATCCATATTTTCTATAATAATTGCCTATACTTCTAAAACAAAAGGTTCTCGCAAAAAAAATGTAGAGAAGGACATGACCCCCTAGCGTTGGCATTGACGGCCATGTATGCTTCGCTTGAATATACCAACATTTCCTAAGGTATAAACTGCTGGAAAAAAAAAAAGCTAAAAAAAAGTGCAAAACCTGGTCAAAGGACTACCAGTTTGTAAAACAAAAAAAAAAGTAGATCTAAAATATTTTGTATTGACCTCCTAAAATACATTTACTTTTAAAATGAAGTAAAAACTATTTAAACCCTATTTTTTAAATTGTATTACCATCAAATATCTAATTACATTTTAAGAAATGTTTTTTCGATTTTCTCCACCACAAGATTATTAATAAATAGCTCAATTTACTCTTTTAATACAAATACTCTATGATACTACTTTTAAAGATAATGAAAGTATTCATTATACGCCGTAAAATATGAATTTCAGCAACCTAATTTCTATTAACTCAAATGATGTTCTTTAAAAATGCTTACTGTTTAGATCAATTATGCAGTGCAACAATCTTTCTTTGTACTCTGGATGATTATTATTTTGCTTATACCTCGACCAATGTTGATAAAAATCTTGATGAGAAGTTTTGACAGTTTGTTCGCTATAGGGCCCTTAAGGGGATCCTTTGTGAATGATAAAATCCTTGATGTGGTAAAAGACTGCGTGAGTTTTGGGTGTTACGCTTGCACCAGTTATCTTTAGGTAAAACTTTTTGAAATTATCATTTTTTTCAGCGAAATCCGGCTGATAGATGTATCCAAAGCAAGCCTTGAAAATTAAATTGAAGCTTTTGAATGCTTCAATTATGCACACAATGTTTGTCTCAGCAAGTTGCTGCAGCATATTCACATTTTAAGGAAGCTTCCTGCATTCATTTCCCTCAAACTGGCCCCCGTGATTCGGATTCAGTTGAATGTGGAGGGCGGCTGGCCACTTTACAGCTACTATCCAAGCAGTTTTAAGGATCTTGAAATGATGGTTGACAACTCCTAAGGGGAGATGCAATTCCATCAGTGGAATGATTTCCAAAATCAGAACATTGACAGGCCCGCAGCCTGATTGGCTTTCGAATGACATTGCCAAACAGCTTTGCATTAGCAACAACCCCGCCAGATTGCTGAAAAGACTCAAGGCTTAAATTAAGCCCAGTGTTCGCAAGTTTCCAGATTTGGCAAGACAATTGAATTTGACGTCATACCAGGTGCAAAGGTGCGTGTTTGAAGACCACAGATTATATTTGCAACTTTCATATCACAAACCAAAATTAGTTTAACTCCATTTGCATTAATCAGTGACCAGATTTGTTCAATATTGGAGTGTGTTTCTGGCAAATCTTCTAAAACCCCAACAATATTTTGTCTCTTGACTCCAGTGTCTTTACCATTCCTTTGAGTGAGAAGTTATTGTTAGTGCGGTGAGCTGGTTTCATTCCTTAACGCAGTATCAACAATGCTTAGGCAAAACTTGAGAAAACCTTTGCCATCATTAATTCTGAGCTTAACAAAATAGCCACCAGAAATTTTGCGGGACTGAATAACATTATTCACAAGACTTGATAAATCATTGCAGTAAGCAACAACATGAATTGTGATTTTTAAGTCGCTGCAGGTGAAAAAATCGCTCAATTGTTGACCTAGTCTTAGAAAATTCATGTAGAAATTTTGCTCTACCATCTTGCTGCTTGATGTTTTGTTTATAGTTCTAACAAGTTTCTTTAATCCGTTGTTTGACAGGCCCGTATTTAATTACACATTTACAAGGTCTACAGTGGTCATTTTCGGAGCACTTGATGGTGTCTGCACACTACTTTGACCTAAAACCAAAACATACATATTTTATAGTTACAATAAACTTTGTTTAGCAAGTTTGTGTAAAACTTTCAAATTATTTGTTTTTTTAAAGAAATTAGAAACTTATCAAAAATATACTTCTTGAAATCTATCTAGTGTTATTTCTTAATAGTCAAGACTTTATTTCAATATATCTGTTAAAATTATTTAAGTATAAATATTTACCAGGGGTAACTGTAAGTGGAGGCCCGCTGGATGCTTTAGCCAGTAGAGTAGTTTCTTCCGGAGATAATTCTTTATTGGAAATAACTCGAGATGCGATTTGTTCGGATGATTTGGCATCTTTTTCTGCTAAAGATTGAATTTTTTTCCTTAACATTATTTGAGAGCATTGGTGGGGCAAACCTTTTCCTAAAGGGCTGGGGCATTTGCTGCAACGCACCTTTTTTTTCTTAATAGTGGTTTGCTCTATAGAGGATGTTTTTCTTGCAGCTTTGAACGACCAATTCGGCATATAAGGCAACAACACATCGTGCCTCTTGTTTCAGGTCTCACTTGTATTGGCTTAAAATCAAACAAAGGAGGGAGTGCAATTTCTTTCCCCTCTTGTTTCCTGCGCAAAGTAATTCTACACGATTCCCAGAATCCTTTTGGTACCCGAGTATCACTGATATTGATCTTGGTCTTGTACAGTTAGCATATACGATCTGCTTGAAAAGTAGTAAGCTGTCTTAAACATTTTTTCAGACAGAGAAAGCACACAAACTTTTAATTTTCATCACGATTCTTTGCTTGATTTGGTATCATGGCAGTTCACTAAATTTGACTTCACTATATCAAACTCTGCCTTTTACAAAATTTGACCTAAATTTATATTTGATAACAATCCACTTAACATAGTAACATATTATTAATTAAAAACTATTAAAATAAAGGAAATATTACTTGATTATATTGAGGTAGTATAAATACATTTAATTGAGGTTATATAAATTACAAGGAAATAATTCTTGAATAGTTTTCTCCTTACCAAGAAACAATTGTTTAAACTATTTATTTGTTAGAAATTACATTATCAATAACTGTCACACTTATTAAACTAATGATACTTGTCACACGGGTTGTTTTATTTTAAAACAACCCTTCAACCTAATTAGTTATTCAGTTAGAGTAATTTTCCTCTGACTGGCCCTCCAAACTTTGTATTGGTCAAATATCTTAGTTAACTTATCAAAATTTTTAAAGTCAATTTTCTTTGTCAATATAAAAAATATATGTTTTTTTCACAGTTGTTCTGTTTTCAGATAAATAAATATTTTTATTTTCTATGTAGGTATCCCTAAAAATCCTTCTTAACCATTTTTTTAGAATTTTTTTGCATTCTGGCAGTAGTTTATTCCTTAGGAAATGTTGGTATATACACGCTATGCATACATGGCCGTTAAGGGAGCCATATGACCAATACAAAGTTTATTCTAAGTATTAAAAATATGTATGCATAAAATCCATGATTTCTAAAATTATTTTAGTATTTATGGATTTAAATTTAGAAATTGAGGGGTTGACTCCACTTTGAAGGCCGTGTCGACACTATTAGCATAAGACTATTTAAATCACCCTTTAAGTAGAAAATCACTATTTTGGTCTATAAAATGAAAACTGTACATGTACCAATAAAATAATTATAACAAAAATTGTTAGTATTGCATTGTAGAACACTCATGTAACCGTTATTTTAAAAATAGTGACCGAATTTCAAAGTAATCAGTAACGCTTTGAGGTGTAAGTAGCAAAAAACTGACAAAACTTCAACTAAAACTGCAATAACTTCAACACCAGTCATCCAATCAGGCTGAAATTTTGTCAAGAGTTTGGTGTGACTATTGGCTGCATTTGCACTAATTTTTATCAAATTATATTGAGTGGTTCAAATTCTACAAGTGTTTTTATTGGCGCACTATGAAGTCAAATTTTGACTTAATTTGAACATTCAAATTAAATTATTTTCCGCAAACAAAATTAAATGATTTCAAAATTAGCATTACAGGGTACCTTGATGTGTACGCTAACTTTCCGTATAAGTATATACATACATATATATATACATATATATATATATATATATATATATATATATATATATATATATATATATATATATATATATATATATATATATATATATATATATATATATATATATATATATATATATATATGTGTGTGTGTGTGTATACATATATATATGTATATATATGTATACATATATATATGACTCCACACCCTGGTATAAACATATATGTAAACATATATATATATATGTATATATACATATATATATATATATATATATATATATATATATATATATATATATATATATATATATATATGTATATATATATGTATGTATATACTTATATGTATATATATGTATATATATGTATGTATATACATATATGTATATATATGTGTATATGTATATATATGTGTATATGTATGTATATGTGCGTATGTATGTATATACATACATATATATATATGTATATATATATATATATATATATATATATATATATATATATATATATATATATATATATATATATATATATATATATATGTATGTATATATATGTATATATATATATATGTATATATATGTATAAATATGTGTATATATATATATAAATGTGTATATATATATATATATATATATATATATATATATATATATATATATATATATATATATATATATATTCAGAGGGTATATACATAAATATGTATTTACCCTCTAAATGTGTTCTGTATAATAAAATAATACTGAAACTAAAATATTTTAATATAAATTAAAATATTTGGTATGGTTCAATTTTTAGCTGTAAAATTTTTTTTTATAGTTAACGTTTATAGTTAGGCTTTACACAAACTTTTTTTAAATATAGTTTGTTTTATAGAATAAACTTTTTATACCTTGTAATGATTGTTGAGGTAATCAATTAAACAATTCTTTTTAGGCATTATGTACAATTTAATTTTTTTTTTGAACCTAACAGAATTTTTAAAAATATGCTTCTAAAATGCAGATAACACTGAAGATGCTTATTAATATTAAAAATATAATTTTTATTGCCTTAATTAAAAAAATTTATAAAAATCAATTAGAATTAATCAGTTAATTAAATCAAGCAATCAGAATCAATCAATTAAATCAATCAATCAGTATTAATCAGTTGATTAAATTAATCAGTCAAAATCAATCAGTTAATTAAATCAATTAATCAGTATTAATCAGTTAATTAAATCAATCAGTCAATATCAATCAGTTAATTAAATCAATTAATCAGTATTAATCAGTTAATTAAATCAATCAGTCAGAACCAATCAGTTAATTAAATCAATCGATCAGTATTAATCAGTTAATTAAATCAATCAATCAGTATCAATCAGTTAATTAAATATAAGTGATAAGTTAAGTAAATTATTGTAAAATATTGAAAATTACAATCAAAGCAGTTGGTTTAATGCAAATAATAAGTAATGATAAATAGTAAATATATAGTGGTAAATCCAAAACAAGAAATTGAAAAAACCCAATGGGCACAGACATCTGTAAAATGTCTATACAATATTTTATAGATGTCACAAGACTGTAGGATGTCCTTTAGATGTCCAACAAATATTTTGCTCTCAATTGGAATATGCTTATAATAATACTTAAGTCCATCTGGAAATATTTTTATACTAAATAAAGTTTTGGAAATAATTAGGATAAGCATAGGTTAACTACTCTATTTTGAATCCAACTTAAGTTACCCCATTTTGGAATTCATCTGCAAAAAGACTTAGAAAATTTTTTATTTTGAAAATGAAAAATGCCCCTATTTTTAGATTGTTTATTCTTTTTGTTTACCCTTTTTGGCATTGGTTGGTTTAAGTTTGTTAAATGCTATTTTTTTCTTTTTAAATAAAGATAAATAACTGCTTTTGATTCACTAGTAAAAGTAAAAAATAATACACTTGCAATTTTTTAAATGCCAATTTCAATCCAATCTTGTATGTTAATGGAGCTTCATGGTTTTAAAAAAAAGTGTTATGTTTATAAATTGTTATTAAACACCAGAGTTTATTTTAAAATGTTGTTATGTTATAATATTGTGACTTATTTATACAATTTTCTATTCATTATAATAGTTATTATAATTATAGGAAAATGAGCTGTTAGTACTATTTATTATGTAATTTTTTATTAGGAAGAGTTAGCTTTAATATACCAAAGTATTACCTTAAAGGAAGACGCTTTAGTGCAATATGACGAAGTTGATGCATTGCTCTCACAGTTTGTAATTAACTGCAAGGGAAAAGGTAAAAGGTACTTTCAATATTTACTGGTGATAAATTTAGTTTTTTACTTTTAAGTTTTTTTAAAAACATGTTAAACGAAATGAAGATATACAGTAATAAAACAGCTTTTGTAATCAAAACCAAATGGAAATTATAAAATTATTATATTACAGCACAAATTCTTCTAAAATCCTTTTTTAAAATCCTAAAATCCTAAAGTCTTTTTAACAGGTTTTTCACACCTACATTACATTAAAAATAAATAATTATTTTTTCTTTAAACTATTTAAACTGGTGATTTACTTTAACATGTAAAAACATTTACCTGACTGCCAGTTCCTTTACCCTTTCCATATATAAATTATTTGAATTATAACTAGTCATGTTTAATATTTGGTTAGATTATAACAATGTAAATACACAACATCAAGTTGTGTAATTACATTGTTATAATCCAATTTTCCAAAAGTTTGAAAACTTGTAAAAAATTTAAGGAAATGTTTGTGAACAAGAAGTAGCTTTACTAATAAAAAAGTTTCATTAGTAAATGTTTTCTTATTAAATTTATCTCTCCAAGAATCCAGAATCACTGAAGAGGCTATTCATTTATTTATTATTTTTTTATTTGAAACTTTGTATTTGGGTCATATACATTTTTTGGCTGTCTTGATGTTTGTAGTTAAATTTTTTTGTAAAATCCATCTACCTAACCCTCTCTTATTGTGGGGCTGTTTTAAAGAAGAGTGACCTAAGGAAAAATATAATCTGGATATTTTTCAAAAAATATTCTCCTGGATCAGCCTTGTCACAATAATGAATGTTAAATACAGGTAATGTTTACTTAGTTGCTGCTTGTTGCTGGTATGCAGGTTTTTGCATTTTGCAGAATCATCTGCATTGAATTTTTTTCAAAGTTTTTGAAGTTTTTTCATTTATTTTGAAAAAAAGAGCAATTAATATTGTCATAAACATCCTTGGTTGACCTTAGAGGTTGTTCATGATACACCCAATTAAAGAAGGAAACACATGTTTAAAATTTTGGTAACTTTTTAATTATGAATCATTTCTTAAATAGCAACATTTATTTAAAAACCAAGTTTTCGAAATAATTTAAAAAAATGGTTACTAATGGTGTTGATTTCTGTTTGTTGTTATTCTTGAGTCTTCATCTGATATCAAAAGTAATATGTTTCTATAAAATAGGTTCACAGGTTTATTCTTTGAACTTTTGAAAAAATTACTTTTTACTTAAATGCGTTTTCTTTATCAAAATTACTTATCTTCACTGTTATTACAAAATCTTTTTTTATTTTATTTTGCTATGCTTTCCTCAAGCTTTTTTGAATGAATCTTTAAGCGCCACTCTGATTTGTAATTATCATTATATACCTTTTTTGAAGTTTGCTGTTCGAATTGTTGGGGTAGTTATTTATTTTTTAATTTTTCTGAACCATTATAGATAACTTATTGTGCAAATAGAAATTTAAAAAATTTTAATAATTGTCCATGGGGAGTCATTATTTAGCAATAATTACAAAAGCATCGGACAGTTTGACTTTATAGAAAGTTTAAAATGTCCCCGAATAATATATAGAATGTTTAAAGTGTCCCTAATAAGGCGTGTATTGGAAAAATTCAGGGAATCGTTACAAACTCATAAATCACAAATACTTACATTCCAAACCTCTAATGATACAAACAACTTTCATAAATAAAAACTAACATTTAAAAAAGTTTAATAAATCTGTTTTATAATTGCTTCCATAGTTTTTATTAACTAAAATAAAAAATGGGCATGCCCTTTACATTTTAAGCTTGCACCTTTAATGTGTGCACAATACATGGCTTTAAAGTATATACCTAAAAGAATTTATTTTTTAGAGCACTACAGTTTTAAGCTTATAATATTCCAAAAAAGAAAAAAAAAGCTGTCTATGTGGCACTGTGGGATAACCAGTCATTTAATGAGCTAATTTATTATGTTTTTATAAGATTTTACTTTTTGCTTTTACCATTTTATACTTTTCTTTAGACAACATTGTCTTTAAATATAAACTTCTAAGGCTTCACTTAAAGTATGAACTACTAAGGCTTCACTTAAAGTATGAACTTCTAAGACTTCACTTAAAGTATGAACTTCTAAGGCTTTACTTAAAATAAAATATATAGGTATAAAAATGTCTTATAGTTTTATTTATTTTTTTGGTAACAATTTTATCACCAACTTGTAGAAATTGGAGCTTTGGTTCATAAAAGCCATATGTCATAATGTATCAGTTGTAAGAAAGACGCCATTAAAGCAGTATGAAATATGTTATATTTTACTTTGTTTAAATTCTAACACGTCATAAAAAAACATTTTTTTAAATATTATAAAAAAATATGTTTTATAATATTATAAAAAAACATATCTACGAGAGACCAGGGAGACTTTGGACTAATTTAATTGGGACTTTGGACTGCTTTAATTGAGCTTATTTAATAACTATTGCATTTTTTCAAAGTAAAATATTTTGCTGTCAAATTACAATGATTATTGCAACGTTTTATTGTTTAAAAACTATTTTAAAAATGCTAATCAAGTGTCTGAAGTAACCCCGCATGCAGGGTGACTTCGAACATGTATAGAGGAGATTATGGACATCAAATAAATAAGTATGCGATTTCAACAATGGTAGTTTATTTTTTATTTAAAAATTATTGCAGTCAGTATTAATCCAAATTGCAAATAATAATTGTCCTTAAAACAATACATCATGGTAAATTAAATTTATCAGCATCGCTGTCATTAAATCCATCGTCATCAATGTTCTATGTACTCAGGGTATATGCATTATCTTTAAAAAAATTGACTTTTCTTAAAATTAGTTGTTACATCAACAGTTATTAAATCAATATTTTGATGTTTAGTCTTTTTGAGATGGTCGAAGAGTCTTGATTTGCTAACACTGTGTTAAGCAGCATGCTCAAAATTTATTTTTAAACATTTTTTATGGCTTTCCTTAACTTTTCAGGTGAAAATGTACGCTTGGTTTTTCTCTTATAGTTTATGATCATCTTTTGATTAGTTGTGATAAAAATGATTATAAAACTTGAAACTTGTTAAAAAAAGCTTTTTTGTTCTAGTAACTACTACTCTTTAGTTCAGCGCTACTAGCGGCACGGTACGCTTTTATATACATTCACTCAAGAATTCCTTTATGCAGAATCAATCTACTAAGGAATTATGGTGTTGCAATCGTTAATAACTGTACAAATAGAAATTTATTCCTAATGTTAACAGGGTAGTGGATTTCTAAATGTCCATTCTCTCCCTGTGTCTAAAGTCTCCCCGGTCTCCCCTATGATAAATATATATATATATCTTTATACAAATCTCTCAAAATCCAAGTGGTTTTAGGAAAAGTAAATAACAATTTTTAAAAAAATATTAGGTGCAGAAAAAAAAATATGTTTTAAATTTTTATTGATTAATTTAACAATATAAAATATTTATAAGCTGCATTTTTGTTCTTCAAATCAAGATTCAGAGAAAACCAGCTGTTACAATAAAAAAGACATTCAAATGCTTCAAGTTTAAATACGTATTGAAATTTTACATAGAGAAGCAACTTAATTTGTTAAAATGTTATCTACAGGAAAATATGATCTTCCTCTTTGCTTATAGATTGCAATGAAACTATTGTTAAGCCAGTATTCCGTGTTATAAACTTATTTAAGCCAAAAGCTTTTAAAAATGATAAAAACTATATTGAGTTTATTGGGACTACAACATTAATTTTAGTAAGTCTAATAAATATTTTTGCTGCATACTTTAATACGATAGTAGACAACCTGGTGGTAGACTAGTGGTAGAACACTCAATGTGATGGTAGACTAGTCACAGAACACTCAGCTCATAATCAAGAGGTTCAAGGTTTAAATCTATATTATGTATCTGAAAGTACGACGCTCAACCTGTTCTGCAATCAGTGGTTCTGTTTAACATGGCTCATGTTTCAAAGTTTAGCATTGAGACAGAATTGCAAAAAAAATCTATTATAAAAATTAACAAATCACATATTATGGTAGATACATATTTGGTTGTAAGGTAATTCGATGTCAAATGACCCATAAATTTTTTAAAATATCACCCTGTATCTTAGATTTTTCTGATTTTTATACAGTTGAGAGTACTTAGTAAAATAAGAATCCCTAGAAAATTTTAGCTCCTTGCTCCAAGAAGATCCTGAAATATGACCATTTTACTTTTAGTAGATATCAGGTGGACACGGAAAAATCCAGTTAACTTTAAATTGAGATTTCTCTGAAACCACAAAAGCTTTTTATTTCTTTTTTTTTTTTAACTAAACGTTGCTTCCTTATATTTAATTGTGTTGATTAACATTTTTTTGCAAAAATCCATTGACTTCATATCGCTTGATTGGTAAACGTACAAATATCCCAAAATCTAGTCATAGATATTATAAATAATTTTAAGACTGCTCAAAGCTTTGAAAGAAAAACCTGGAAGTGGAAGAAAGAAAACTTTTCATAAATTCAAAAGATAAAGTTGATTCTCAGATTAATAGCAAGAAATCCAAACCAGTCACAGCGAGATCTAGCAAGAAAAAAGTACTCAAAAATGCTGGAATTAAAGCATTTCATAAGAAAAATACACCTAAGAGAAGCTTAAATGGTGAAATAAAAAAAATTTGATGCGCAAAGAAGTTTGTTTAAATAATGGCAGGTAAATGTATGTACATAATATAAGACAACAAAACATATGCAATGCAGTGGTGCAAAGATAATAATGTGAAAATTGTTCCTAAAGATGCGAATCCTCTAAATTGCCAATAGTTAAATGAGTTCTTTTTAAGACAGGTGGAGTTCTAAAAAGTAAAAAAGACCTCCAAAAAAAGTGGATCTCTTGGCAAACAGCCCATCGAGCCCCTTAAAATATAGTTAAACCCTAACTAATGTAAACACATTTAATATAAAAAAATTGAAATAAAAAGCATTTATGATTTTAGAGAAATCTCAAATTAAAATTGAACGCATTTTTCCATGTCCACTTGATATTGGCTAGGTCCCTCTTGTCCCCTCAGAATTGCAACATTTATTTAGAAGTTTCAAGTCATATAACTTTAAAAATGTTTGATCTTTTTACTTAAAAGTTTGTAATTGGCTTTTTTTAGGGGTGATGAATCTAATGAAATGATCAGAATTTTAAAAAATTGTTTTTAAGTACCTTTAATTTAAATAAATTTAGGCAAATTTTTATATATCTGATTTTGATGCTCAAGAAACCCATGTAGCCTTAATGATATCAAAAAAAAAAAAAATTTACACATTCTATATTTATTGGTCTTTTAGAAGACATAATTATTTTGATCTGCAACTATATGGATTTCTATATATGGATATGAATATTGCGATTTTTCATTACCTTACAGACTAGCTAGAAACTTTTGCTTCTTTTGTAGTGCAGATGAATGTGCATGTTAAAGTTGTTTCCAGGGCCCAAGACACTTTTTTGAAGCATAATCTTGTTTTTCGCTATATACTTTCGATATACTTTCCAGACAAACTGGAGCTCTGACAATTTGTATCATTGATGCACCTGTAACAGCTGACATTTTTTTATTTTGTATTTTATTTTTTAAATAATTGAATAAAACAGAACAAGTACAGTATTGTGCAAATTAATTAAATCAGACATTTTTTTTGTTATTTGTTGTTTTATTCTACGTTTTCTCTAATTTAACTGTGATTATAAGGATAAGTAAATTTAAAAAAAATAAATAAAAAATGATGGACACTACACCAAGAAAAAGATCTAAAATATTCACTTCACTTTAGTATTCTGATAAATTTCAAAGGGAATTCATACACTTACATTGAGGTTCTGCAACACATTTATTTCTAGAGATGATAAAAGTGTTACCAAATGGAAATGGAATATTTTATCAGGATTTTAGCCAAAAAAGTCAATAAATTAATGGAGAAAATATACTTAAATGACCTGGCAACTTTTCAAATCAAAAAAAAGAAAACATGGCTGCTTAACTAAAACTAAGCATCACTATCCATCAGATTTGATTTGAAGAGCCAGAAATCCTACAAATTTGTAAAAATTTGGTAGATTCTATGCCAAATTGTGTGCAGAAAGTCATAACAGCACTAAGAGGACCCACAAAATATCAGTGTATAAGTTTTTATTAAATTGGAGGAAACTTTCTGGATTTTTATTGTTTTTAATTTTGATGCAAATAATTTGCACAATACTGTATAAACTAAAAAAAATTTAAAGATAATATTTTTAAAGTTATCTTTAAAAACATTGTCTTCAAAATTACTTTGCTCCAACTTGTCTGGAAGGTAGTAAAAAATCTATTGCTAGATTCCGCTAAAAAAGTTAGAGCACATAATCCAGCCCTCCCTGGTGTCTTGGGCCCTGAAAACAATTTTTGTATGCACATTTATTAGCGTTTCAAAAATTACAAAAGTTTCATCGCTCCAGCTAGTCCAGAAGGTCATGAAAAATCAATCCCAATAATCCGCTACAAAAAAGTTTGGTTCAGTGGGAAAAAAGTTATTCCCTGATAAACTTAACTTTAAGGTGGCTCTATTTTTTGATACCACAACTGTGCATTCCAGTCTTTACAAAAAGTCATCACTTTTTGCAAATGTGGGGGTTGCATTGCATATAGCTGTTGAATTTTAGGCCAAACAAAACTCAGTAGTTTCTGATAAAAATTATTGTTGATATTACTTTATTAATGAATGAAACATTGTTGATATTATTTTATTTTGTTTAAAAACATTGTTGATATTATTTTATTAATGAATGGCAACACTCTTACTGAGTTCTCTACTTTATGTCTTGTTGGATTATTTTTCCCCTGGCATCTCATGGAAATTATATATTCTATCTATTGCAAATTAGGTTTGTCTCTATCATGTTTGCTATTTTCTTACTTCTAATTCCGTTCTCTATAAATGTTTTTTTTGTCCTTGTAAACAACACTCTTGTTATATTTAGACTGATTCTTCTAATGATGTTTTGTCTTTGGACTGTGTTTCTAAGACAACTTGTCTAAGAAACACAGGTGGCTGAAGGCTCATTATTGGTCTGGCTAGGCACAATTTAAAAAAAATATGTTTTTAAAATTAGATTTTTTTTTTATCAGTTACACTTGGAAAGTAGTATTTTCTATAATAATATAGGTTTATGGGGTTTCGAGCAAAAACAAAGCTGATTAAGTATCTTATAGGTTTTTCAAAACTAAAAATTAAATTAACGCATTCAATTTTTAATTGGTAATTTGAAATCAATAATATCTTTCATAGTTTATTGAATTAATGTAATAAAGTCATTTTTCCTTATATCATGCATTGTCAATACAAAATATTTACTTAAAGTGAGTGAGTTTTTCTAAAATGGTTTCTTAAAACTGACATTGTACTCCTTTTGATCAGTTTTAAAGTGTATATTAGAAAGTGAAGATAATGAAAGTGATTTGGACGATTACTAACTCAGTAAGTTTATTCTTCAAAAAGTGACAGCGACTCTGATTGTCTTTATGAAGCCACCAACTTATAATAATATTACCCAGACTACTACTTATGCATAGCAGAACATGCGTTCTAAGAAAATGTATGCAAACAAAAATGGGAAAATTAAAAAATTAAAAAAAAAAAAAAAAACTTTTATAAGCTTTTTAAAAATGCATAATGTTATGTAAAATTCTGTATGTAATAAAAACTATTTTTAAAGTTGACATTTAAAATTATTTAGAACCTCCAAATTGGTTACAAGCTTTATGTTTTACCCCAACTTCCTGGGATGGCGTTACACTGAGCTCAACAGTTTGTACTCATTACAGAGATTTAATTAAATCAGGAAAGGCCAGTTTATTAGATTTTAGAAACTATCTATTTTCCCGACAATGTAAACTGCTCATTAAAATGAAAAGGAGTTGGGATATTCCATTGAGGTTAACAGATTTTTTGTTTGCGATGATTCATGAACTTGGTTTTCTAAAGGTGATGTCAAATTTAATGTTTATGAGAGTTATTATATGTATTTATTACTTAATAAAATTATCCAATAATTTTTTTCAAATTTTTCTAATTTTAATGGTTCTTTTGAATTAGATTTCCATGGATTCTGGGATGATATCGTGTTGGATTATATTAACTTGTATGCAATTATTTCAAGTTTTAGAAGCAACAGAAAATAAGGATCGTGTATTTTCTACTTGCATGGCTAATTTGTATTATTACCTTTTTTCAAAACTTTATGTTATAGGCCAGTTAACTGGCTTGTATTATTATCGTAAACAAACTGAAGTTGAAATAGTTAATGTAAATAATTTATTAACAGGAATAGGAAAGCACCATGTAAGTAAAAAAGACACTTATTCATTTTCTAAATCATTAAAATCTGCTCTGCAATCTCAATCAAAATTTGGTGAACTTTTTATTCAAATAGCAAGTAAATCAATGGAATCATTCAAAGAACTTAACTATAAACATTTTACTGTTCGTGTTGGCGTCCAATTAGCAAATTATTATTTAGAACATGAACAATATCTAGATGCTGATTCTTTACTCCAAGAAGCTCAAAATATTTATAAAAACCAAAAGTGGGAAGTATTGCACAACGATATCCTTATTCCTTTAGCTCATTGTCAATCAAAACTTAAATCTTATAAACAATATCTAAAATCTGTGTGTGTTTTAGCATGCTCACCGTATTTAAGTTTAAGTAAAAAATTACATTATAATGAAGAGTTGATCAGGTTAATGAGTGAAAATAACTTAGGATGTATCAGTACTGAACCTCTAATCAAAATTAAAAAAATTCGTATACCATTAGTAAAAGGTAAAGGACATATAGGAGACTGTGTTTCTGTTCATGTTCAGGTTGACTTTGAGCTGAAAGAATCATTTTTTTGTCAAAAAGCTGTAGTTTATTTCAAATATTTTGATACTAATACTTCTCAGGCCAATATCATTTCAACAGATTTATTTCAGCAAATTAATAAATTTGAGACAGTAAATAGTAAAATCAAAACTCCTTTAACAAAACAAATATCTTCAGATATTTCAGCAAGGACATCGTTTACTCAAAATACTTTAGTGAAGAGAATAAAAGAGCATAGGCGTACATGGTCTAGAAATAAAAATATTCCTGATCTAAATGACACAGATGGTCCAGCAGTTTCAAAAGTTTTATCTAGTTCTGTAAAATCTTCTTCCGAATCTTTAGAAAATATTAAAAGAAGTGGCAGCTCATTAGAAAGGACTAATTCTTTTGTTTATAACAAACTTCCAGAAGAACAGTTTGTTACAGAAAATCTAACCTCTAGCAGAGAATCTATTTCTAAATCAGCTTCAAATGGAAGTATTTTTACTTATGATGAAGTATTGGATGCTTCTGATTTAACAACAAAAAGCTCTGCAATACAAGATAAACAGCATACCATAACAGATGTATCAAATTCTGGTAAAAGTTCAATTGATTTGTAAGTTTTCTTAGTTTTCTGTATAAAGTGTTTGTCTTTTTTTTTATATTAAAAATAGTTTATTTTTTTGTATTTGTGTGTGTTAATTATTTGTTAGGAGTGTAACTTCTAAAGATATTTTTTTTTATATTTGTGTTAATTATTTGTTAGGAGTGTAACTTCTAAAGATAGCAATAGTTCGCTTAATGTTTTGCAAAATGAAAATGAAAAAAATCAAGAAATCAAAATTAATGACTTTATTCTCACTTTTGGTACTAACGATCTAGTATTCTCCACTAAGGTGCATACTTTTTTGCGACCATTAAAGTTACATTTTTAATTTGATATATCTTAAGTGTATTTGATTTTACTTCATAGATCAATTTTGAAGGTAGATTTATTCTAAGTCACATTGAATTTTATGTCTCAAATGCTGTTTTTACTCATAAGTTAAAACTCCCTAATGAGCACTCTTTTTCTATGGTTATTGAGCCACCAAAAATTGAATGGACATCAAATTACATAGTTGATTCTTTATTAACTGGAAGTAAAGAGCGCCTCTATGTTACAATGCTTAATGGGCCTGGCATTGTTATTGAAAACTCTGTTTTGAATATTTTTTCAAATTCTGGATTAGTGTTTTATGGAATGAATGAAACTGATGCCTGCATTTATCCATTAGAAAACAATCAGTTGCCAAGACATGCTGTTATATCAGTAACAACAAATGAAAATAAAGAAGCTGCATTAATACTACCTCATTGTCTACCATATGAACGAATTAATATTTGTTTTGACGTAGTAGCACCTTTAGAAAATGATGGTAAAACAAACATACAACATGAGGTGAGTTTTGATTATTTATATATATATATTTTTCTATACACTATGTATGTAATACTAGTATGTTGTATAAATAATATTGACTTTTTAGTATATGTTTGTTTAAGGAGAAAAAGTGGGTCAGTAGAGGTGTTTGGTTTTAAATAATAAACTTTTTTTTTTTAATTATTTTTTTTTTTTTAAATTTTATTTAATTATTATTATTGTAAAGACTTTATCAATAATAATAAAAAAAAAACAGGCCGAATCTCTACTTTATGTTTTTTGTTTTTTGTTTTTTTTAATTAACTTTTACATTTCCCTTGGTAACCATATACCATCCTTTGTGAAATCAGGGTTTTATAATACATAAATGTTTATGTATTATTATTTATGTATTAATATTATTTCGCACCCCTTCTTCATCTATTAGGCTGGCACAGACGTATTTTTAATATATTGCTTCCAATTTAGGATGTTGAATGCTGTATCTTCTTGACTCGATGCATGGGTTTTGCTTGACTGGGTTTCTTGACTCTGTTTTTATGACTAAGCAAATCATCTTATTATATCTTGATGAGGGTACAGCTCTAAAACTCAGTTTTATACTTCTGAGGCCGGCTGGTAGTCAGGTTTCCCGAACTCTGTGGTAGCTCTCAGAGATGCTGATTCCATCAACAGCTGAAAAATATCAAAGTATTAACAGTGCCATGTTGCACATGGATGGTGTCTCTGTTTGTACTTTTGGTGTGCATTTCTAAAGCCACATTTGGAGCCCTTTGCTATGGCTTAGGGTTTATTAATAGTAATGAGGTAATTGCTTGGCCTATTAAACAGTGTACTAAGTAGTATCTATGCTTTGAGTCAAGTTATTTAAATTTAAAAATGAATAAAGTACCAAAAACTATAAAACACAAAAAACCATCATCATCACCAAGTTCTCTAAACCTATCATTCATTAATATTCGTGGTCTTCAAAGTAACTTTTCTTCTGTTGAGTCTTATCTCTTGCAAATTTCACCAGACCTACTTGCTCTTTGTGAGGCTAATTTAAGTTTAGCTGTCTCATCTTTTGATCTTAGTGTTGATGGTTATCTTCCTTTAATTCGTAAAGACTCTAATAGTCACATGCTTGGCCTGGGCATTTACATTCGTAAGAATTCACCCATTTTTCGGGCAACTAGGTTTGAATCCACAGACTATTCTTTTGTGTTTTCATTTAACACCACTTCACTCGATTGCTGTTCTCTTTGTACTATATCACTCTCCTTCATCTCAAGACTGCACTCTTTTTGATATTATTTCTGATCAAATTGACCAAGTCCTCTCTCTTTATCCATTAGCCTATATTGTTGTTGGTGGTGTTTTTAATACTCATCACACTGAATGGTTTGGCTCTAGTGTGAGTGACTCTGCTGGCGTTAAAGCCTACAACCTTTGTCTTTCTCAATCTCTAATTCAAATAGTCAACTTTCCAACTCGTATTCCTGACAACCCGGATCATTTACCTTCTCTATTTGACTTATGTCTTGTTTCTGATCCTAGTCAGTGATCAGTCTCCCATTTACCTTTAGGTGCTTCTGATCATGGTTTGATCTCTCTAAAACTATTGTCTCATTCTTCTTCATCTGACTCCCCCTATCATCGTACCTCTTACAACTGCCATAAAGCTGACTGGGACTCTTTCCATGATTTTCTTTGTGATGGCCCTAGGGTAGAAATCTTTTGTCTTCCTGTTGACAAGTGTGCTTCTTACATAAGTTTGTGGATTCAGGCTAGTATGGAATCTTTTATTCCCTCTTGGCGATTCCAGGTCAAGCCTCAATCTTATTCATGGTTTTCCTCACATTGTGTTGCTGCAATTGCCAATCAAAACCGTTATTTCTGTATCTATCAGCAAAACAATTCTCCAGAAAACAGATGTCTGTTTATTACTGCTAGAAACCATTGTAAAAAGGTTTTGTCTAATGCCAAAGCCCGCTATTCTCAGGTCATGAAGTCTTGTATTTCATCACAAAAATGAGGCTCTTGTGACTTTTGGAGAATCTTTAATAGTAGCAATAAGGGCAAATCTGTAATTCCACCTCTATTGTATGGTTCAGAGTTTGTCACCTTACCTAAAGACAACAATGAATTGTTTGCTAAGAACTTTTCATCAATATCATCTCTTGATTCCACTAGTTGCGATCTACCTGATATAGCCGTCAAACAGGTTAATCAGGCTTGGTCAGGAAGCAGGAGCGATCGCTCTTGATTGCTGACCACGTAAATAATATTTAGTTGCGAAAAGCTGGCCAGATTTTTTAGTCATTTTGAGAAGATTTTAAAAAGATTAATTGATTAAAGATCAATTGGACCAATGAGAGACAATTACAAAAGAAAAAGAAAAAAAATTAGGCAAATAAAATATCTTTAAACTCTAAAAAACTTAAAGCTAAATAAATTACGTTTAGAACAAATATTTTCGAAACATCTCTCTATTATAATTTTTTTTATACAATTAGGCAATGTTTTTTTATATAAAGTAACAACTTACTATTGTTTAAAAAGGATATTTTATTTAAGCTAAATTATTTATAAATAAAAAAGTTAATTTTTTCAATACCTATTTTATGTTTCGCTTAGTTTGAAAGGTTTAACATATTTGAAGCAATTATTCTTAGTAAGATAAACAAATGAAATAATTAAATCATTGAATTACTATAGAAATTAAATTAACAAGATAGAAATCAACTAAAAAGGTTAAAAATACTTAATGACGAGGAAGCGAAACTGCTTCACAATATCGCTGATGATGTTTAGTGAGTGGTCTTTTTAATTTTAATTAGTATTTAAAGCAGAAAAATGAATAACGAGTTTTAAGAATGGCAACTTAAGCGAAAATAATTAGAGTTAGTAAACCAATATCTAGTAACTTTTTTTTTATATCTAATTATTTGCTATATATATTTGTGTTCTGTCGTGACCTCAGGCGCGTCGCTTGTTGATCCGCAAGTTACTTTGTACGCGTTGTTTGTATTTAGTATAGGGTTGTTCGCCGAAAAACAAAACTTGCGAAAATTTTGCATCTTTATCTACCGTAATAGAATTGTTATTGCAGAAGTTGCATATGCGAAAATGCACATTCCGTAACGCACTATACGAAAACATAAATAAATAAAATTCTGAAATAAAGCATTGCGAAAGAAAACTTGCAAAACAAATCATATCGTAAGAACACTCACGAAATAGTTCCTTACGGAAGGAGCATTCCGGAATGTGCAGTTACGAAAAAGATGCAAAAGATTTTGTGTTACGATATATTTAAGACATTAACTGTTAATAGTTTAATTAATTAAGTAATAAATATTAAAATTATAAAAAAATGTTAAATGATTCTTCAAGTGTTTATACAAATATATCTAATATATATATATATATATATATATATATATATATATATATATATATATATATATATATATATATATATATATATATATATATATATATATATATATATATATATATGTATATATATATATATATATATATATATATATATATATATATATATATATATATATATATATATATATATATATATATATATATATATATATATATATATATATATATTATATATATATAACTATAATTACAAAAATTAGCAGGCCCTATTATTATTCAAAAAAAAAGTTTTTCAAAATTATGTGATGTAGGTACTCAAATAATGCGAAATTTTATAAAAATTTTAAAAATAATAATTTTTTCACATAAAAATTATTATTTTAGATTTTAATGCTTAATAACTATAGTTTTTTAACTAAAAGTGAAAAAAGGTGCATTTTTACATGTTTTTTAATAACAATTTTTTTTTAGCAATATGATTTTTATAAAACAATTATTATTTTCAAATTTTTTATAAAATTTCGCTTCTTTTGAGTACCAGGTTGACCTACTTTTGAAAAACTTTTTTTCTCTAAAATATTAGGGTACCGGTAATTTTCCCAATAAAGTTGCGCCCTTTAAATCTATCACAATCATTCTTATATTTGATAGTATCAATATTAATAACTATTAGCAATGTTTAGAGCCTGTAACAAGAAAAAAAAAATTTTTGATCCACCCTAATATATATATATATATACATATATATATATATATATATATATATATATATATATATAAATATATATATATATATATATATATATATATATATATATATATATATATATAAACATATATATAAACATATATACATATATATACAGTAAAATCCCGTTAAGTTGGACTCTCAATGGGAACAGATAAATAGCATATTATATTATTGAACAGTTGATACCTCATCAAATAGTAAACAAACTAATAAAAAATTTATTTTATATCTATGATATAAATTCAATCACTCATCATCTTCCCATGAGTTGTTGAAGTGTTCTTCAATAATCATCGTTTTCCCATAAGTTGTTGAAGTGTTCTTCGATAATAATGACATATGACTTTATGTGTTTGCTTTAAAGCACATTTTAAAATCCGCTGGGATCAAATAATGATTCTTAAATTTATATACAAATTGTTGATATTTGTAAACAATTAGATTTTCAGTCAAATGGTAATACAATAGTAAAACGTTGGTAAATTTTTAATTTATATCATGTCTCTAGGAAACTTACTTCAAATTCCCCATGCTAATATGCTATTTTTATACCACATTGTAGATGTAAATACCTTTAAAATCTGCTCGTATTAGCCAAATTCATATAACGCGAGTTGTAGGGAAAAAAATAAAAATGGTAGCGTTATAAATAACAACAAAACCGTGTGAAGTCTATTTTTGTATAAAGATAGTTTTGTTTATAAAAATTTCAAATCTTTTTCATTTAAAATAGTGACTTTAGTTTAAAGTCGTACTGTGACCAAATGTGATCATAATCTCAATAAATTCCAACTGTTTTAAAGTTTTTTGTATTCGTTCTGAATAGCTTCTACACATGGAAGGCATCAAAATCCTATTGGTTTCCCATTTGTGTTTTTAGAAT